CATGCTCCGTGCCAGTGGGGCCTGTCACGATGCCCCTTCCAGTGTTGGCCAAGGGTGCACGCGTGAAGAGACATGTCCTTGGAATAGACTCACATCTTTTTAACGCCTTCAGGATTGTGAGGAAAGAGAAGCAAATATTCTACAAGTAGTGGTCCTATGAATGTAATTTTTTACCCTTTTACCTAACTCCAAGAGACTTACTTTGCATGCATAGAATGGTAGTAATAGAATGCCAAGGTTTTTTGGGCAGTGTGTACCCTACTCCCCGAAATGCAGCATGAGTTGTAATCAGCCAACTGAAATTACCCATTTCTGATTAAGAAGATGCCATTCATTCCCTACAATAGGGATATATTTCTACAACGATGTCCCTCAAAGTCTTCAGTGTTCATCAGTCTAAGTCACTAGAGTAAATTGTCCCTGTGGAATGCCTCATTCACTTTTAGCAGTACACTAATAGAAATGGTTCCGACAGAAGGTACAGGTATTATAAACACTAACTTAAGATGTAGCCATGGTAAACCATTGCTAGATCAGAGCTCAAATTTTGTAGAATGGCAGGAGAGAAGCTTTAAAAAGAGCAGCAATGAAATCAGGCAGTTTGCTAAGGATGAGTTGAAAGGATTGTCAGATTCCCTTAGTCATTGAACTTAGCCTATCAGTGCTATCACAAAAGGAGGATGTTGTCACAGGTACTTGGCCACCCAGTTTAAGTTATCAGATGCCATTTTCCCAACTCATTTAATTCTAGCCTTCGGGTTCTGACAATAAAAATGACAGCTCTTCATCTAATGTGGGCTATTATCCACAGGATGGTATTGCATCAACTTCTCGCTTAAGCTTTTGACTAATGAGAGGAGTGTTTAAGAATCGGAGTTTATTTTTGTGTATGGTGTGAGTGGGTAATCTAGTTTCATTTTTCGTGCATGTATCTGATCAATTTTCCCAGCACCATTTATTAAACTGATTAACAAAAATAGATCCAGAGACAAAGAAACACTGAACAGACCGTCCAACCTCAGAGGGAAGACAGGGGAGTGGGAAGGAGGGGAAAGAGAGCAACCAAAGGACTTGTATACATGCATATTAGCATAACCAATAGACATGGACATGGGGGTGGTGGGGGCTTGTCCTGGGGGGTAGGAATGGTAGGGGGGATTGATTGGGGAAGAAGGAGACATATTTAATACTTTAAACAATAAAAAAGTAAATGGTAGAATATAGTAATGAATGAAGAAGAAGAAGAAGAAGGAAGAGGAGGAGGAGGAGGAGGAGGAGGAGGAGGAGGAGGAGGAGGAGGAGGAGGAGGAGGAGGAGGGGAGTCAAAGTAGTATTTATCCCTTCTCTTGTTTATATGATTGGATTCTGCCATGTTGATATTGACCTGTTTGACAATGCAACAGAACTGTACTATAGGCAAAAGCCCATGAAGGGAACAGTGGAAATATTAGGTTTGGAAAAGCTTTGGTAAAATCATTCATTTTGGTTAACTGAGCATTTAAAGATGCAGGCTTGTGAGCACAAGCCTCTTTTCATCAAATCTGTAAATGAACACTCATGACAGTAGGGACCCTGGGGCCTTGGTCATAGAGAAGGTTGTTTTGTGCTAGGTTTAGCTATTATACTTGGCAAATTTATGGGAAGTTTCTTTCATAATTTTACCATGATCTAATCCTAAGAGATAATAACAGAAAGGGAGTATGGTTTAAAAGAAAAAAAAGACCAGTAGACAGACAGAACCCTTGGTTTTTAAATCCTAGTATTTAATTCATGTGTGTATTCTCTTGGCTAAGGAATACCGAAATGATACGGGCTTATTTATACAGTGGAAAGTAGTTTTCTATTGAAATTAAGTTAGAACTGCATTGCTTGTTTAAATTGATATTTGAAGCACTTAGTCATTTTATTAGTCAGTAAAATTGATGAAAACCTTGGGAAAATGCTTAAGAATGGTCCTCGCGGAGACTGTGATTAATAAGGAAAGAGGCAAAGAGATGCATGTTAATCTGTTTATGTATATGGGAGCTAGAGCTTATTAAAATTTTTTTTATAAACATTCAACTAATGAAGCATTATATAAAATTAGACATTTCCTTTACACTGTGAAAAAGTCTCTGGACTGGAAAAAAAAAAAACCTTCAAGGTTATTTCTGAATAGCTTACTTACAATATTTTCCCTATCACTACCATATTTTCCAGCGTATAAGATGACCCCCTAATTTTACAGTTAAAACATAGGTTTAGGCCTATATTCGCTGTATAAGACTACCCCCCACTTCAAAGAAAAGACTTTACCGTCAATATCTGCAGGTAATATTTGTGCAATTTTGGTCTTTTGCCCCCGATTTTCGGTTGACTTTTTTTCGTTTCAAAAGTCGTCTTATACGCTGGAAAATACGGGGTAGTAACTTAAGTATAAAAAATGAATTTTGTAATAAGGAATATTCTGTGAGAATACCATTCCAGTTTCTCTGGGGCTGTTCTCAGTTGGCCTTGGTTTCTCAAGTTAATACAGGATGGAGTAACATGAACAAGCATTATTAAATTCATTTTGTGGTTTTAGCAGCTACTTGGCCGATGAATCCCAAATAGCACATATAAAACCAAAACATTATTTCACTTTGCATATTTTTATTTGTTAGAGGTTGCAAAGAAAGAGGGTTGTTCAAAGTTCTCTCTAGGTTCTAAATGATGAGATAACAAGGAATGTATACACAAATGGAATTGTCCAGGCAAATTCCAGTGGCTGCAAAGATAGGGTGGGTTGTCTGGGAAAGCTGAGCTAGGGCATATGTCCTAGGAGCCTCTTCTCTGGAATTAGGAAAAGGAAGAAGGATTATTTTCAGCATTTTTCCCAAGATTATACATAGGGTATTTATTGTATTTTATATTCTTTGGTCATGTTTTAGGTATCTTTACCATCATAATTTTTTTTTAATTATCTTCTTCATTTTTGATAGAATCTCTGCAGAAGAGTCAAAGCAGCATCTGTTTAGTTGTCAGACAGATGTGAATTCACGTGCTAACATCAAATCTTGATCCTGGTCAAACTACTGAACTGACATGATTTTTTTTTTTAATCTGTTTATTGGGGGCAATAGTACTTAGTCCACAGGATTGCTTCGAGGAACATAGAATATATATAAAGGAACTTAGTTTAGAAGAGCACACAAAATATTTCTCAAGTTTTCATGCTTATTTAATATTAGAGGCCCAGTGCATGAAATTCATGAAACGGGGGGGGGGGGGGGGGGGGGGAGAAGAGGTGTATCTTCAGCCCAGCCTGTACCCTCTTGCAAACAGGGACTCCTCAGGGGATGTCTAACTGCTGGTTTAGGCCCGATCTCACAGAAATTACTGCGGGATCAGACCTAAACCTATAGTCAGACATCCCTCTAACAATCTGGGACCTCTGGCTCCTCACCGTTGGCCTGCCTGCCTGATGATCCCTAACCACCCTACCTTCCTGCCTGATCGCCCCTAACTGCCTTTGCCTTTGCCCTTGCCGCTGTGGCTTCATCCAGATGGACATCTGGAATGACGTCTGGAAGGTCGTTCAGCTGTCTGGTTTAATTAGCATAGTACGCTTTTATTATTATAGATTCCTTACCTGTTGCAGATCACTTTAAATTCATATATGATGACCACAATTCAGGAAAAGAAAAATCAAAATATATACATCAAATGTATTTATGAATATACCAAAGCACCTCATTTTAGATTAGGCTCTTCCCAAAACCATAAAAAGTAAATGTTTTTAGAAAAATCTATAGCATATGGCACTCAATAAATATTACATGCTTAGTATTATTCTATCTTCATCTTCATTTCACAAACAAATTTAAGCTTTCTCTGTATAGTTTCTTTCTTTAAACCCATTCAAAATGCTTTTATTCCTGGCATGTCATTTAGATTTTTAAGCTTGAAACTCTGTGTCTGGAGCTCAGACTAAGAAATAATGCTAAGACTTTGTGAGGGATGGGAAAGAAATACTTCAGTATTGACTGCATGAGTTGTATACAAATCAAAACTCAAGGGACCTGGAGTTCTGCTCAGAAGTTGATGCTCTTTCACCATCATATTATTTCATTGTGAATTCTCAAGCATTTACTCTATTAATTTTTAAAAGTACATATTATATATATATATATATATAATCTTCACTTTCAGATTGGATTTTTCCACTTATATATGGAATATAAAACTGAAAGTAACAAAAAACAAATATGTAAAAGAAACAAACAAAAATGTATAGACACAGATAACAGTATTGTGGTGATCAGAGGGGAGTGGGAAGTAGTAAAGGATAAAAAGGATCAAATATATGGCGATGAAAAAAAAGATTTGACTTTGAGTAGTGGTATACAATGTAATGGACAGATGTTATAGAATTATATACTTGAAACCTGTATAAGTTTATTAACCAATGTCACCCCCAATAAATTTAATTTTAAAAAAAGATTGATTTCTTATATCAGAGTCCCAGAGGAAAAGAGACTTAAATAAAAGCATTTTATTTATCTCTAATGAAAAATTTGGAAGTAGGCAACTCAAATCTGATAATGGTAACTCAGTGATTATCAGGAACTGTAACTCATTTTTCTTCATTGCTTTGAATTCTTAATGTGGAAGAGCCTCATGTTGCATCGTAGCTGCATGAGCAACAAATACCCTGTCCTCAGTCCAGAATAATAGGAAGTAAGACAGAACACAGATGCTGAGCCACTTCTTTATGAGCACCTTCCCAGAAACTCTTCTTAACTTCTCATCTTTTCATCCTTCACCAGAATGCAGGCACATGGCCACATCTGCAGAAGAAGCTGGAAATGTTACTTAGGCTTTAGTCTGAGTGATAAGATTGAAGGGTTTTATTATTCCAGAAGAAGAGGAGAACAGATATTGAGGACACGTATGATAATCTGTGACATCTGGGCTTCACCAGATCTTTTAAAATTCATTTCTCTTACATTTTCTTTTTCCTTATTTTCTTTTGTATATAGATCCCATGCGAGGCCCAAGGAAACTGGAAGTGGTAGAAGTCAAATCTCGACAAATAACTATCCGCTGGGAGCCATTTGGATATAATGTGACTCGTTGCCATAGTTACAATCTCACAGTCCACTACTGTTACCAAGTAGGAGGACAAGAACAGGTGCGAGAAGAAGTAAGCTGGGACACAGATAATTCACACCCTCAGCATACGATCACTAACCTCTCACCATACACCAATGTTAGTGTGAAACTCATCCTCATGAATCCGGAAGGAAGAAAGGAAAGTCAAGAACTCATAGTGCAGACGGATGAAGATCGTGAGTACTTTTAAATATGTTTATTTGAAATCTATACCCTCTCAAGAAAGCAGCTTCTGTTTCTTTTAAATTGAGATCTTTGTGGCGAAAATAGAAGGAATAACTATTTAGTGTATTGAATAATAAAATATAAACATGTCCATGCTTCTGTATACTTAAGCACTGATAAAAAGGGTATAGGGAATAAAGAAGTAGGAGTGTATTTTAATTCCTTATGAATCAGATAGTCACATTTCTATGTAAAATAATTCTATATTGATCTTCATTAAAGGTTTATTATCATGTTGAATTAAACAATTATTATTTTGGGTACTATTACTTATATGAAATGCTTATTTAAGTATATTTAAAAGGCATTCTGAAACACTTTTCATATTTCAGATAAAAATTTAGCCCAAAAGAGAGGCTGCCCCTGCTTTTCGGTGTAGTGCTGAGAAATTACCTCATTAGGTTTTCGGTCATGAAATAGATCAGATTTTCCCATAGGAACAATGTTGTAATTGGATATTACCTTAATAAACAAGAATTTAACTAATATACTATGCACATTACTAGAAACTCATCAATAAAGTGAATACACAATTAATCTCTAAAATAATTTAAAATAGTAAAATTATACCTTGAAAATTATACCATGGATATAAATGTGCTCTTATAGTGATTGATTATATACAATATCATGTACTATCACGTGTCATATAGCACATAAAATACAGTGGTAGTATGTCATATATTTGACCTAATGTTAATTTGTCAGGCATCAGAATAAGTTTCAAAACAACTTGGAAAGCTCGTTAAATGAATATACTTACTTATTCCTGGGGGAAAATACATGTTTACTTTTTTGTTTTTTCATGTAGCTGATTATGAGCTTGATCATTAATTATAACAAATTAAATTTTTATGACACTTTATTATTTCATGTAAAGAGCTAAAGGTGCTTGAATTATTTATTGCCTATACAATACCATGCATATTGCTAAAGAAGAAAAACATGGAAATGAGTTATTCACCCACATTCTTATCTTTTATACCCCCATAAAGTACTTCTCTACTTAAAATAGTTGGTTGCTGTCAAATAGTTGTTTTATTACAATTACTAGTGGTCCGGTGCATGAAATTCGCTCAATCAGGTGGGAGAAGATCCCTCAGCCTGGCCTGTGCCCTTTTGCAATCCAGCAGCCCTCGGGAGATGTCCAGTTGGACATCCTTAGTGCTGTCACAGAGGCAGGAAAGGATCCCACCACTGCTACTGCACTTGCTAGCTGTGAGCCTGGCTTCTGGCTGAGCAGCACTCCCCTGTGGGAACACATTGACCACCAGGGGGCAGCTCCTGCATTGAACGTCTGCCCCCTGGTGGTCAGGGTGTGTCATAGTGACTGGTCATTCATCAGTTCAGTCAATTTCCATATTTGCCTTATTTAGGATTTTTGTTAAGATTATTAGTGTATAGTAGTCAGGGCTGAGACTGGAAGTCCTATTTCTATTTCTCCAAGTCTTCTTCATCTCCCATGAAATAAGAATGAAGGTGTCAGCATGGTCAACAGGTCATCTCTTGACTCTTTCTCCCTGCATTTCAATTTTTAATTTGGTCTTGTCTCCTGTTGTTTCTACTTTCATGATATTAGATTGCTCTTGTCTCTGATCTTCCACAACCTGTATTCAGATCTTCATTATTTTGTACTGAAATTTCTGCCCTTTCTTTGTGATCCCAGCTTTTTGTCATTCTAATGCCACCCTACTCACTCACTAAACTGACCTTTGAAATATATTTGCATCTTTTTTCTCTCTACACAAGAACTTTCAGTGACTCTCTTTATCCAAGTCTTGACTTTCAAGGTCTTCTGTATTCTTGACTTATGCTCTAGAACTACTGACTTTATCACTGAAGTTCATTCTGAAAAAACATCCCCTCAGCATTGGCCCTTTATGCCACACTTTTTATCTTGGGCTCTTCCTCATCTCCCATTGTCATCCACCACCTGTTTTTCTACATGGTTGCCTCTCAATTCCATCTCCTCGGCTACCTAGTTCTCCTCAAGTATCAGGTCCTTCATAAAGCTATCATCATTTTCAATCATTTTTGTGTTTTATTGTGTGAAAATGAAATAATTAAACTATTTGGCTTAACTCAATTTTATTTGTTTTGTTTTAAAATGCTGCTATGTTGACATTCTAGTGTATGTCACCTGGTACTATGTATAAAAAATATTACTAGGGAATATACCTGGAGTTTGAATTATTAATGTTGTATGATAGCTGCCTCCTTAAATTTATTTAAATACTACCATTATTTTATGCCATGGCTGTACCCGTCTATACTCTTATAAGCTATGTGTGGGAATTCTGATTTCTCTATGGACGCCTCAATCTATTTTTGAAGAATGAAAAAGTTCATATGAGAGATGATTATTGAGGTTCATCTAATTGATTCAAACTTTAAAGAAAAAATGAGGAATGTTTTTCTTTATTAACCAGTATAGTCAAATTGGTTTTGAATTTTAGTTTTTTTTTAATTCAATGCGTCTACAGCTTATTAAAATATTGTGCCTCAATAGAGAGTTTACTCAAGTCTAAAAAACTCTCTTTTTTTGGTTTGTTACTTAAACATCTATTGGTTTTCCCCCTTACAGTGCCAGGTGCTGTTCCTACTGAATCCATTCAAGGAAGTACCTTTGAAGAGAAGATATTTCTTCAATGGCGAGAACCAATTCAAACATATGGTGTCATCACTTTATATGAGGTAGTATATATATATATTTGTTAATTTAATTTTTATTATAATTTCTCTGATAGCTAGGCTGTCATAGAAATGCATAATGCCATCATGTTTTGATAGATACAGAGGCAGTAAAGCATTAAACAGACTGTCAAATTACAGCGGGAAGGTTAGAAAGAGGTGGGGGAGATAAGAGATCAACAGAAGGACTTAGATGTATGCATATAAGAATAACCAATGGATGCAAAACATTGGGGGTGAGGGCATGTATAGAAGTAGGGTAGAGGGCAATGGTAAGATATACATATAACACATATAATATTTTAATAAAAAATGAGAAAAAAATGTAAAAAAAAGAAGTTTAAGTCTTTGAATAGTTATAGTGGTTACTATATAAAAGCAAAAAATTAAAAATGAGTTTTTGAATTATATATATTTTAGGATGCATATTTATAATGATGTGAATGTTTCCAGGTTATATAATATGCATAAAAATATTAACATATTTTTGAATCATCTTTATTAAAAACAGTATTTTGAAGTATACATTAAGAGGTACACAATCCTATTCTTACTATAAAATATTTTACTACTGAATCACAGAAGAATGTTGATTATCCAATTAGCAAAATCAATGGATGTTGTCTCAGAAGTAATAATAGGAGAATGTCTCTTGGCTTTTTAGTATTAGCAAAACACACATTAAAACTTCTGTGACATGGTTTTGTCTACTGAGGCATATCAAATGGTTGAGTAATAGCTAATAGAAGAATTCGATGAATTGTTCAAGGAATAAAATAATAGCAATAACGGGATGACAGTCGTCATCAATCTATATGAGCATCATTTTACGATGCCTATTGTCATAGAAACAAGCAGGTGCATTTTTGAAGCAAGCATTTATTTGAATGCAAATTCAACAAAATTATATGTTGTTCAGCTTCTGAAAATTGCGACAGTTCCTCCTACAGCATCTCTGCTTGAATACCTATTAGAACTACTGACAAAAGCCTGAGCAGAAGAGCTGTCAGACAGTAATCACTGCTGAACCCCTTTCCTGACCCAAATAGCCTCACATTGATGTTTCCTTATAACTTTTGAAATTTGGTATTGAAATGCAAAGAAAAAAATTATTGTTAGTAGGAAGCTAAATAAAGTAAGATAAAAGATAAAAGAAAATGGTTATCATGTTAAGTTATTGATGCTTTTTATTGGCTGCTTCATTGTAAATGAATCAGGTAAGAAAATCATGGCTAGATCCAAAGAACTAAGGTTTATAATTAAATCAAACAAGGTCGTACTTTAGTTCTCAATTAACAGAATCTTTTAGCTAATATTTTGGCCATGGCCATTTTCAAGTCTCAGCAATCAAGAATAGTTGATTTATTTTATTTTATTTATTTATTTATTTATTTTATTTTTTGCCAGGAAAGATACAGAAAGTTAGGCTTTAAAATCAACTAAAGTTCTAAGAAGTAACTCCACCTAGCCTATGTTGTTATCTAGACGGACTGATCTCAGTAGACATGTATCTTTGCGTAATAAAGTAACTTTAATGTGGAAACATTAAAAGGAATAATAATTCAAAAGAAGAACCCATTAATCTCCCTGTCTTTAGCAGCTAGGATCTCCCAGTTGAACACTGATCTAAATGCTACTACACTGGTGATATGTGAATGTGTCATAAATCAGAGTTTTAAGAATCAGATGTTGGCAAGTAAAGCAGATTGGTTTATTTTGTACATACCAAAGCGAAAATGTCAAACGTGTGAGCCAGGCTTAAGTAATCCTATATAATAAAAGCCTAGGTGGCATCCTGTGATGCCCTTGTGTGAAGAAGTCACAAGATGGCCAGCAGGGGAGGAGAGTTGTGGATGATCAAACTGGCAGGAGAGATCAGTTGGGGAGTGACTGGGCTGGCAGGGGATGACAGTTAGGGGTGGCCAGGCCAGCAGGGGAGGGCAGTTGGGGACAATCGGCCTTCTTGCAATCTGGGACCCCTTGGGGATATCGAAGAGCTAGTTTCAGCCCTATCCCCACACAGGCCAGGCCTATGAACCCCACTAGTGCATGAATTTGTGCATAGGGCCTCTATTTTTCTCTCCTTTATCTGTGTTTTCTAAAAGTAGGAAGGAGAGAGTTCTAGGTTCTTCAAGGTAGGCCATAGATGAGGTCTCAGGAGGGAGCCCTTTATCTAAGAAGCTTTGCACACTGTGATTCACTCAGCCTGTGCCAGAGTCAATGATAGACTGAGCTTCCTCCTGGAGCCAACGGCTGGTGTTGAACCAGACTCGGTCTCCACTCTGGAGGACTACAGTCTCCTGGGACAGATATCATGCTAAAGAAGTAGAATGATAGTCCAAAGAGAAGCAGGGGCTTTAGGAACAGTGTATTCTATCATAGAAACACATTTGACTACAGGTAAAAGAGAGCTTAATTATCATACTTGGAAAAAAGCTTACCAAAAACAAAAATGATACAGGTATTTCTTAGGTAGGATGCACATTTGGATAATTTTAGAAGGAGTGAAGAAAAACAGATTGAATGATGTAGATGTTATACATGAATACGCTGTACGTTCAGGTTTATTCTCATGTCTACGCTTTACTTTCATCTTATGAAAGGCACACCAACTATTAATGATTGGAAAATGCTGACAATGTCATTTTTGCCAGGAATTATGGCAGTTAGCAGAGTTCAAATATTCTTCTGCTGTTATTCTTTGCCCTCTCCTTTATAGTCCCTTGACATCTATCTTTAGCCTCAGGAACTAGCCTTTCCTTGCTCTTCTTCCTACTTTGTTCTAGCTCCAACCTTCCTCATACCTATGTCCCAATCAGCCACTTAATTTTATCAGTCATCTTCCTAAACCTGGACTGATAATTGCAGTCTTTCTCATTTTTATGGAATTATTTTTATTGAAAGGATATTTTAGTACAGAAATATTCAAAATAAAAACCCTTGCTTCCCCATTTTCCATTTCAGAGATAACTACTCTTAACAGGTATATGCATGTCCTTGCAAAATTATACAAGATAGAAATTGCAGTGCAAGTTTACTTATGAATACAAAAATAATATGCCTTATAAAATCCCCACTTCACACCATACAAAAATTAATACCAAATATATGCATGATCTAAACACAAAAATTAAATAGTAAGCATATGTTATGAAAATAGGGAAAACATTTTTGTGTATAGCTGAACACTCAATATGAGGATCGAGGTGCCAACCCTTTGCAATTGAAAATCAACATGTAACTTTTGACTCCAAAAATCTTAACACTAGTCATTCCTTGGTATCCACAGTGGATTGGTTCCAGGACCTTCTGTAGATAACAAAAACCTCAGATTTTCAAATCCCTTATATAAAATGGCATACAGTTGGCCTTCTACATTTGTAGATTTATGAAATATCTTATCAAAATGTAAACATTATATATTAAGCCTATTTCTAGAAGTTCATCAGTCAATAATACTCCAAAATGAACAAGAATATATATCCAAGTATTTTAATTCTAACTCACTAAATATATATAGCTCTTGATTGCCTAGTGAGGAAACTCCAGACACCTGGTCATTAGAGTAATACATAAACTGGTTGGTTTGTTTTTTCAATTTAGTATATGTAAGGTATTAGAAGACAAAAGTATAAAAAATACTGCCCCTTCTATACTAGAAGCAACAGTTCTAACAGCAGCTAACTACAAAGAGAATAAGTACCAAATGCAAATAAACTTAGTGTGTGGCTAAAGTATAGAGCACAGTGTCAACTGAGTGGGGCATTGATGGATTAAGAGTTGAAGGAAGACACTTAAAGATCCCACCTGGATAACTGGGCTCAGATAATCACTATTGACTGAGATAGGTAGTAGTATAGAAAGAAGTAGAATCTATCACTTCATTGTGATAGTCAAGACCTCCCATGAGCTAATCCCAGTTTATATTTATTACCACATCTCCCATTATTTTTCTACTGGAATTTAATAAGCCATGTATATGGGATTTTTTTTTCTCCAAAAACCTTCTGAAGTATTACATCAGGCTGCATTTTCCTATTCAGGAGTACCCTCTTATCTGTAATGAATACACCCCATGACCCCCAGTGGATGCCTGAAACTGTGGAAGTATCAAACCTTATATATTTTTTCCTATACACACATATCTTCTCACATAAAGGAAGCACTTCATGGCTTCTCTTTGGCATAGTCAAATTGCCAGTTGCACTACTCCTGTGCTTTATTAAGTAAAGTAAGGATCATTTGAGCACAAGCTCTGCAATACCAGGACAGTGGATCTGATAACTGAGAGAAGGCTAAGTGACCAGAAGGTGGAGATTGTATTGAGAATGGAGAACCCTGCACAAATGGATGATTCACATCCCTGGGCAGGATGGAGTGGGATGGGATGATGTATATATAGTTCATCATGCTCCTTAGAAGCGCATGCAATTTAAAAATTAAGAATTATTTATTTCTGGATTTTTCCATTTAATCTTTTCAGACTTTAGTTAATCCTAGATAATGAAACTACAGAAAGCAAAACTCCTCTTCTACCCCCTGCCCAATATTTTTTATCTTGATACCCTCTTTTTCTTCTATAGAACCTAGTGTTTTATAAATTATTTACTTACTTATTGCTCTCTACCCATTCCAGTCCATCCATCCTAGTCCAGATTCTTACCTGAATACAGGGCCATGTCTTTTTGAATGGGATGAATGAATCTGAGTAAGGAGAGAAATCAGGACAGAGCTACTCTGGTGTTCTAGACAGGCTAAAGTTAATGAGCAATAGTAGGGTAAGGAAAGCCCAGAAAGTGTTCCTAGAAGAGTACCCCAGGACAGAAGGTAATATAATGTCATCATGTCAAGTATTCAGAAATAAAACCTGGGGAGGGTAGGTCTTAAACACATATTAGGGAGCTTGGACTTTGTCCCATATACATTTATGTCCCATTAAAGTTTTCAACAAGGTAGTAAAATTAACAAGATGATTAACCTAGTCCTGGTGGGCAGTGCTAGCCCTTATTTTAATTATACTGTATCATCATTGTTGAATTTTTATCCCTTTCCCCATCAGACAGTTACCTCCTCCAGGGGAGCTACCAAGTCTGGATCTCCACGTGAGACCCCAGCTCAGGGCACAGTGCTTGGTACATAAGGAGGCTTGCAGTTAATATGATTCAAATGGCTGACTGAATGAATAAATAAACTTTGAGGGAGCAATTATGCTGCCATAGCTTAGCTCATTTTCTGGGGCTGTTAGAATGGAGGACTGAAATAAGCACTTGAGCACACAGCAGGGATATTGCTGCGTCCCTCCCACAGCAGCTGGGTGGTAGACATGGTTTGTTCTCTCTCTCTCTCTCTCTCTCTCTCTCTCTCTCTCTCTCTCTCTCTCTCTCTCTCTCTCTCCTCTCTCTCCCTCTCTCTCCCTCTCTCTCTCTCTTTCTCTTTCTCTCAAAATATATACTTTATTGATTTCAGAGAAGAAAGGAGATGGGGAGAGAGATAGAAGCATCAGCAGTGGTGAAAGAGAACTATCGGCTGCCTCCTGCACTCCCCAACCGGGGGATCGAGCCCACAATCCAGGCATATGCTGAAATCAAACTGTGACCTCCTGGATCATAGGTCGACGCTCAACTACTGAGCCACGCGGGTGGAGCCATGGTCTTGGCTCTTGATTCAGAGTAGCCTTGTGAGGGAAATAAACTAGAGGGTTAACAACAGACAAGCTGCCTGACTCGGAGAGTGCCAGTCCCTGCAGAGACTAATATATATATATATATATATATATATATATATATATATATATATATATATATATGGCAAACAGTTTCTTTCCAAAGCTCAGTTGACTCAATCTAAATATTCTTTCAGAGCGGTCTCCTTAATTATAATGACATGGTACGAATCCAGGAAGAAAGAATGTGAGCTATCACTTCGTGTAATAACAGTGTTAGCATTCATGCACATAAATTATACGTCAGTTTACCTATTTAAAAACAAGAAGAGTGCTCAGTTTTGTAATTTAGAACTTTGAATATGCCACCTTTAAAAATTATGTCATTACAACTGGTAGAAGTTAGTAATCACCACCCAAATGTATGTTCTTGAATAGTTGATGAACTACTTAGAGTGAAATTCTTTTAAAATTCATTTGAAAGGGAAAAATTTAAAGCCACCTATGTTATAGTTATATTTATTTCCACACACATCAGACCCACCCAGTGTGCTTCAAACACCTGTTAGGTGGCGAAAGCTTCTAGCGCTGCACTGTTGGAAATGGCAGCTCCTAGTCACAAGTGGCAATTTAAATTTGAACTTTAGTTAATTTAAATTAAATTACATTACATTTTAAGTTTTTCTGTCTCCCTAACCACATTCCAGGTGTTCCATAACCATTTGTAGCTGGTCGCTACCATACTCAATGGTTCAGAACAAAATACTTCCAGCCTGACATCTATTGAAGAGCAATCAAGAAAAGACACAAATATGACCTGTCATGAGGACTGCCTTCATAGCATCAGCAGCTGCTGACACGTGTTTAGGATTTATTTTTGAAGCAGACACCTTTGGCCATTTTACCTTTGTCCACAATGATAAAAAATGAGAAGTGTCCTTGTTTCTAGGGGACTGTAATCCTATTTCTTACTAAGTCAAACTGCGGCCACTGCAAGAGAGATGAGGCCTTACCCTTGTCATGGTCCTACCTGTGTGAGCTTGTTGTATATTTTATTATTTTGTATTGAATCAGATTTTGTTTTTTTTGTATTTTTTAGTGTTGTTTTCCAAAATAACATCTTGAAAGCAAACAACTTCATGGTATTAGATTAAACCTGACCTCATCCTTTATGTTCTAATTTACTGGCGTTAAGTTCCTCTGTATATAAAAGTAGTAACTCATAAGAGTTTTGACTGAGTACCTGCGCCCCTTTGCTGGGTCCAGGATTTGAAGAGTCTAAAAGGATCAGAGAGCTTATCCTACAGTGCCTGACAGTGCATACATCAGAAGGCTTTATTGGATAAAGATGCAATCTTGAACTCCCTGCGCCAGATATTTAATCGCATCCTCATTCTCTTGCAGATTACTTACAAAGCAGTCAGTTCCTTTGACCCGGAAATAGACTTATCCAATCAAAGTGGCAGAGTTTCAAAACTGGGAAATGAAACCCATTTCCTGTTTTTTGGACTTTATCCTGGGACAACGTACTCCTTCACCATCCGAGCTAGCACCGCTAAGGGTTTTGGACCTCCAGCAACAAATCAGTTTACCACTAGAATATCAGGTATTTTATCAGTTATGTCATTTATCAGAAGTGATATTTTGTACTTTTTCATCCCCATTGTCAAGTATGCAAAGCTCACCCAAACTTATACCTTGTATTCAAATGCTTTCAGATATCTGAAAATCAAAATTATGGAATTAAATGAAATATTACAGATAGTTGTTATTTTGGAGCTTAAGATCCTTCTGTGTGATCCACAGTTTGCATTGGAGCACTTGGACATGAACAGAAAGTTCTGTTCTGTTCACTCTTAGCCCCAAATTACCAGAGCAGCAATGCTGGAAAAATCTCTTTAATGAGCCATGAATGATTGAGTGCTCAGAAGAAAGGCAGCACTATATGGAGCTCAGTGCCAGAGGGTCAGCCATCCTTGGGACCTTCGCTATTGGAAGTTTCAGGTCCTAAAGAGACAAGGGGCAACAGAGAAGTTGCTCCTGGCACTTAGGGCCTCCAGCTTTTTGTTTGTTACTTCAGTTATACCATCCAACAAAAGATATAATTTGAGAAATATTTCTGGGCATATGCAACTGTGCAGAAAATTTCTTAGTGCTTCAGACTAGAGGAAATGGAGTTGCCATCTGGTATGGGATATGAAACAGCAATAAACACATTCTATGGGCATTTTCTTTTTCCATTTCACCCCTCCCCTTGTGTATGAGAGGGGAAATATTTGAGTTTGGGCTTTGATTGTTTTGGTTGGGGGTAGATGAGCAGAAAGCGGGTGAGGGAGATAACGTAGTCAAGGGTAGCTATATAATAATTAGCCTGGTTTTCATATATATTGTCCCTCGTCCCTTGTTTTATAAAAGTTTTTGTTTGGAAATTAAGGAAGGGAAATACAACTAAAGTACTGTAAGTATTCTACTGGGTTTTGAGGGAGAAGATTTGGAACTTTGTTTTTAAGCAATTGTAACTTAAAGGGAAATTTTTTATTGTGTAAGATTTTAGTTGTGAGCATAAACTTGAATTGATATTTAATATATTCTTGGTATTTGACCTGAAGTCTTAGGTTATTAGAACAACATGGAGAGTTGGAAAAGAGGGAGAAGGCTTTGGGAGGTAGGAAAATGACATGGGTTGTACAGATGAGTGAGTAGAAAGGGCACTAGACTTGCAATCTAAAAGTATGGGTTCTAGTTATAATTTTCTATGTACCCCCTTTCTAACTTTGATCAAGGAATTTTCCCCCAAATGTAATTTAAGATATTGGCTGCTGCATGAAATTTATCATGAAGATTTAAAGAAGAAACGTGTACCAATGTGTATACCTCCAAGCCCTTTTTTTCCTTCTTTTTCCTCTTTTTTTTTTTTGTAATTTTCCCCCATGGATACCACTTTAAAAAGATTATTATCTTAAAGGATGTGTTCATATAGGAAAATAATTCATTGTTACCATGTTTATTAAATAAAAATCCTGCTTGATATAAGTCCAAAGCACTGTTAGCCCATCAAGTTCATACAATTCTATTTGAAAGAAAAGGTAGGTTACATTTTAATTAGCCTACCCAGGCTCATCAAGAATAACTATGTAATTTTTATAGTTCAAAAAAATTACAAATTATAGGCCCTTATTTTCTACTTTCATGGATCTCAGAGAGAGAGCTACTCTCTATACAAAATGTAATTCTGTATTATGAATTCAAGTTAATTTTCAGAGAATTGGAGTTAATTTTTAATGCTGAGGAAATCCAATAAATGGAACTGAGATATAACCCATGTCTTTTATGTAAGAGCTTTTTATATTTCAGAGATTTAAAAACTATATTTGTCAAAACTGATCTGTAGTGTTCTCATCGGGTCCCTATACCTGTGGTTGTAAAAGACCAGGTGCACACTCACATCCCAGCGTTTATGAGGTGATTTCCCTTGTCCATGGGGATGACAGAATTACCCAACAGCTCTGTTATCTTCTCATAATGAGAGCTAACAATCTAGGGGGAAAAAGAATGCCAGGAAATGGCCTTGGAAATAGGATTCACATTAGGAAGAGAACTAACATTTGTAGAATTATATTTGTCTGGCTCTCTTTATCTCTATCTCTTTGAATTCCTATAATAACCCTAAAGGGTAATTTTCTACTTTTAAAGATGAGTAAACTAAAGCTCCAGAGATAATGTGCCCCAGCTCTATGTTGGTTAAAACAAGGCACCGGGAAAAGTCAAACCCCTGATTTTCTTAGCTCAATCCCCATATCTTTTTTACTCCTTGCTTCCCTGAGAGCCAACCAGTGGTCACTAATTTCAGCAAGCCTCTCTGGCTCCCACTGTCATCTTCAGATCCCCTGTTGAATCTTTGGTACAAAATCCTTGACTTACCTGGAAGAACTGTAAAGTTCAGTGCTATGATCCTAATAATTATTTCTTAAATGTGCATTTAAAGTATATTTTTTGAAGGAAAGAACACAAATTTCACAAGCTCACCACACCCATTTAGCAAGAATCCAAACAAATTTGAGAAACAGAATAAAGAGAAACAGAACAACTAACAAATCCTGTGAATGCTCTCTCCCAACTTTGATCTCTGAGATCAAAAAAGGTAATGTGGTGGTTTTAACAGTTGTCCCTGATATTTTGTGTAAGGTATGTACATAAAGGCTGCTCATGGTCAGTTGGTAGCTGCAATTTAATCTAAGTGCATAGTATTCTTAATGTTTTGTGCTGTTTGTTTTTATAAATGAAAGTAGACAAAAAACTGGGGGGGAAAGCAGAAATAATGAGTTTCCCATCTTATGCATTTTTCTCCAGCACCCTCTATGCCGGCTTATGAACTTGAGACCCCTTTGAATCAAACTGACAACACAGTGACAGTCATGCTGAAACCTGCACACAGCAGAGGCGCGCCTGTCAGGTACTGAGCAGGGAAGGGATAGGCTGGCTCCAGAGACATGAAAACCAAAATCAGATTGATTAATTTCTTGAATGCATTTTCCAGGGATTTGCAACCAACCTCAGTCAGCATGTAAACCCCTATTTGTGTTAGTTCTAATTAGAAGATATGACTGAGGAAAGGGAAAGTGCTTTGATGTGCAGTGATCAAGTACTGTGTAAAGTCTGACTCGGCTGCAAGGGGGTTGTTCTTTGAAGATGAGGAACAAAAACCCCAGTCTGTTGCAAGGTGGCTTTACAATTGCTTGCAGCAATTTAGTTACCCAGGGGCATTTGGCCTTTTCATCCTGAGCTCTATTCGTTAAGTGGATCTTTTGTTTGTTTGTTTGTTTGTTTGTTTGTTTGTTTAACTGGGATTTAAGTTTGGCTAAATTTCATAAATTGACTAATTTCTCAGTGGACTATGTGTTGTACATTTTTTTAAAGAAATAGACCAGCAATTTTCAACCTGTGTGCTGCAAGAATTTTTAAAAAACGAAATACCTGCCTATTTAATCTGGGACACTGACCTCTTTTGTAGATTGTCAGATTAAAAAATGACAAAAGCCAACACAACAATAGTCGTTTAATATGAGTGAATCAAAATAATACCTATTTTTGTCAGGTCGGCAAAATATGTAACACATTTTTTGGTGTGCTGCAAAATTTTAGTAATTAGTTTGTGTGTGCCATGAGGTGAAATAGTTGAAAGTCACTGCAATAGACTCGTGGAAAGAGAATTGTGAAGTCTTTATTTGAACAGATTTAAGTTTATTACCAACATGTAGGGTCTCATTTCTCATATCATGATGATTTATTTAGCTAAGAAATTATAAAGTGTAACTTTTACAGTGGATGAATAAAATAAATTTATTCTTCCCAGGAAAGAGCAAGGGAATGCCTGAATAATTCTTGAATATGAACTTGTCATAAGCTCATTAATCTATATAAATGAAATTTCTACTTGTTTCAGAGGGATTCAGATATCCTGTACTATCAGAAGTGATTCCCTTCAAAATAATCTATTACATTCAATAGCATACACTAAGGTAACATTTACAGTCACAATTAAGGCTATATCAGATTTGTTTCCATGTTCCTGTTGTAGAATTTTATTTCATTAACCCTTTGAAACCTGGCTTTTTTTAAAATCATGTTTTCATATAGCATCATACAGTGATTAGTTGGACTTCTTCTTCTTTTTTTTTTTTTTACCACTAATGAGATATGTATATTAATTTTAGTCCACAGAGGCAGGAGTAAGAACAGAATAAAATGTGATAGTGAAATCACATTAAAGTAGAATCACAACATGAAAAACCTACAATATTGTAGGAAATAATTTATTCTGTTGACTGACTCAACATAACTCATATAAAGGATTTGGGATTGCCATTCATAGGTGTAGTTTGTGAAAACACTATGGAATATGTAAAAGCTCTATTGCAGATTTTGAATATTATTATTGCTAGAACGTGATGCCACTGACACCACCCAGGATTGATCTGTGTGTGGTGATGACTGGTTGCACTCATCTGAATGACCCAAGGCACACACTCATTAGATGGCTGTCCAAGACCCAGGGGTACTTGGCCATGGGTCATTCCTTTTTCACTCTGGAAGGCTGAATTATTATTAAATGGAAGTTGATGCTTCTGACCATGGCTTTCAGGACATCATTTTTTTTCTAACCAATTTAACAATTGCCCAGACTCAGGAACAATGGGCCATTAGTACGGGAGTCTGTGTTCTACAATAAAAGCATGATAAAATGAAAGGGTAAAGGTCACTGATGTCCAGGACCTCCAAACTGAAGGAAGCTGAAGTCCTAGCCATTTCTCCAAACAGCCAGCTATTCTCTATTCTACTTTATTTTTATATAAACTCATTTTACATATTTCTATTCCTATTGCATTGTTCCTTCAAACCCTTTCTGTCAGACTTCCATCCACGTCTTTGTACAGATCTTTCCAAGTCTAAGTTTCCAAAAATATTCCTTAGGGCAATCCACCTTAGTCCTCTTTCCAGTCCTCCTTCCCTATCTTTTTAAATTGTCACTTGTACTTCAAACCACTCTTCCTATTTTCTGTCATATGTGTTGCTAAAACATTGTTTTATTGTTGTTTTCATTTAAACCTTTCTAGTTGGTTTTGGAGATTTTTGAAGCCTTGCTAGTTCATTAATTATAGATATCCTCAGACTTCTTCTTATTCTTATGCCTGTAACAATACAGATTCAAAGGCTTGTCAAATATGCAAAATACATAGCTTTCTCCCCCGATCTCACTTCATTTTATCATGCCCGACTCTATTCTTTCTAAGATTTTAGTTTAGGTTGTGGCATTTCCTTCACAATTGTCCTATTGCCTTATGTTCCAAGTTCATAACTGCTCTTCTTTGATTACTAGTAAACATAATGTTGTTATTAGCAAAATATCCCTGGAATTTGACAGGGTCAACTATGTATTCTGCCCCCTATTTTACCTTCATCCACCATGTTAACATCTTAACATTAATAAATGTATGATCCATGTTCATTATCTAAATCCATAATGCTCCAATCAGTTTCATTTCTTATGGGAAAAATATTCAGTAAGTATTACAGGAAAATCCACTGTGGACACTACTTTTATTGCAAGGATGCTTGTCTTGAACGGGTAAGTTTTATTGCACAAATTTGAGAGAGGAAATTATCTCAATCTCACCTGTCAAAGATTTATGTTGTGCAGAAAAGTAAATATTCTCTTCAAGGAATTCATTATTATAGTACAACAAAATGGGACTGATTATCTATTGAGTAAATAGAAGACCAAGATAACTAGAAAAAACTCGTTTGGAGTGGGGAAAAAAGTCTTTAATACTTTCAAACTAAATGGGGTATATGAAAATGTTCCATTGCATTTGGTGTTTAGAGAAATAAGTACTCTGATTAGGGAATCATAGGGCCCTAAAATATAAAGCCATATGTAGATTAAAACATTTGAACACATCTGGAAATTTGCAAAACGCACATGTAATCAAACTGCAATACAAGAAAGCTTTTCCCAAATGATAACTACGAGAAGAAAGAGGGGAGATGAAAGTGAACATCTGTTGGCTTCCCTGGATTTTCCACAGTATTATGTGTTCAAAAATACTGTCATTGTGTGATTTCCAAAACCCATTCTTTCAATTGATTTGATTTTTCTTTAATCCATATTCATCGGTTTTAAAATTCAGTCGTACTTCATTGGTGATCTTCCCTAAGTAAGGTATTGATTCCACTGCAAGCGCTCGGCTTGGTTAGTGCAGATTCTTGAAATTGCACTAAAGTCTCACTGTAAATGACTGTTGTCTTTTTATTGATCAACACTTCAGCTCTGTCACATACAATTATTTAAATCTGTAGGTGGCTAGGAAGAACACAAATTCCATCATTCCAGCTGGTAAACTGGCACCTAGGACAGAATTTTAATGTCTGTTCATAGATGCAATTTGTTTTCTTTAATAAGACAGGGAGAAACTCATTTAGAACCACCTCTTTTCTCTCTCGTCTCTCCATTACATGCAGACACAACCCAACAGTGAAAACCCTTGTACTTTGGCATAAAAGAGCAGCTCTAAATCAAGAATGAATTTAACACAGTCTTTACACAACAAAAAATTCCCTCTGTGACTTTATTTATGATATAGATATGACTGCAATATTCCTCGTTAATAATATGTTAGACCTTGTAATGTTCTATATGCTTGAGAATAATATTTTTCAGCTTTAGACGATGATGTTTCCAAATGACTCACTTTGGTTCTCACAACTCTGTTGCTTGAATTTGTTTATAAATAATATTTTGGAGCTACATGTCTTCTTAATTAAAACTCAATACTTGAAAATATTTATTATTTAAACATTTTGATTGTTTCAGTGAAAAGTTTAAAAATTAAGTTCTTTTTTTTTTATTCATTCATCCAGGAGATATTATTAAATGGGGGAAACATCTGTTACAGATTTGTCTGTCCATGGGATGGAGGTGGAAAATAATCACACCCACAACCCAAACATTAAAACTGATGCCTAGCGCTGGCTAGTTTGGCTCAATGGATAGAGAGTCGGCCTGTGGACTGAAGGGTCGCAGGTTCAATTCTGGTCAAGGGCACATGCCCCGGTTGTGGGCTTGATCCCCAATAGGGGGCATGCACTGATGTTTCTATCTCTCTCTCCCTCTCCCTTCCTCTCTGAAATCAGTAAAAATATATATTTTAAAAAACCAATGCCTAAACATGTGAATGTAAATTTAATTTATGGCACCCATTCTGTTGTCCTTCGAGAAAATGTAGCCCCAATTATTTTAATGTTGTGCTTTTATTTTTATTGGCAATTTATATTATGGTTGTCCTTGCAACCAAATGTTTCCTCAGTAGTTATATTTAAAAAGAAACTTACGCCAAAACCAGTTTGGCTCAGTGGATAGAGCCTCAGCCTGCAGACTGAGGAATCCCAGGTTCGATTCTGGTCAAGGGCATGTACCTTGGTTGCAGGCACATCCTCAGTGCAAGGTGTGTAGGAGGCAGCTGATCAATGTTTCTAACTCTCTATTTTTCTCCCTTCTTCTCTGTAAAAATATCAATAAAATATATTTTAAAAATATAAAAAAAGAAACTTATAAATACTTTTTTTGTAGCTGAGAATCCGGGCAGCAAATAGGAACTTCACTACTTTATGAATAGAGAAGAGATAAGAGCATAAGGAATGGAAAAAACATTTGCCTTACTTTTTAAAAGTTGTGTTCTACTTAAGATTTCAAACAAGATAAGAAATATTTTCTATTATGGCAAGCATAAATATTTTTTTCATCCAAAACACTTCTGGTTTTATTTATTTTTATTTTTTTGTTAATCCTCACTCAAGGATATTTTCCCATTGACTTTTAGAGAGAATGGAATGTTGGAAGGGGGAGAAAGGCAGACACACAGAGAGAGAGAGACATCGATGTGAGAGAGACAGATT